TACCCCTGCTCTAGGTTGCACCAGCTGAAGTCTGGTGCCCCTTCAGGAATAAAAGGTGAGTCACATGGGAGTTGGATTAGCTAAGACACCTGAAAGGTAAATGATTCAGGCTTAGATAATGGGGCCTCTACCCCTGTCCCCAACCCAGTTCACTATTAACCAACGCTCCCTATACATGAGGAAAGTAAGCACCAAGGCATTTGGCTTTAGAAGGTCATGACCCATACACAGAAATTCAGTAACAGCTGCCAAAGCACCCTCACCATCAAGAAAACCTTAAATTTTTCCTTCTTTTCATGTCTCTTTGTCTGGAAAACACAGTCCCTAATTTATTCTGAAGCAAGATTTGCAGCCCACAGGCCAAACCTGTCTTCATACCACCCAAGAACTAAATATTTTTTATATTTTTAGAGGCTTGTTTTTTAAAACAAAAAACATCTAACAAAGATAACATAGAACCCACAAAGCCTAAAGTAGGTCCTCTGTAAAGGTCTGCCAATCCCACTCTAAAGCATTCTCGAGGCAACAAGGGAAAGTATCTACTATACATCAATCGGTCTACTTTCATTTCACCCAGAATTCCCATGGAAAAGTCTGATCCCTAAAGGTTCTTAAAAGTAGAAAGAAAAACCAGCTCTTTCCCCCATCTTGGAAAGACCCTTTCCTTTTACTCTTGCCTACCTGAGGCGGCGGCGAGGGTCAGAGGGTGTCCCAGTTCGACGGGCAGTGCCATAATCAGACATCATACCGTAATCCAGGTCATCATAGCCCATACTACGCTGGTCATCTTCTAACCCGTAAGGCTCTGGGTGAAAGCGGTGCAGATCCACACTGCTCCCCCCTACCCGAACCTGGGGCTGTGGCCCATAGACATCCTGTCTACTAGGTGCCCTGTAGCCTTCCATGCTGGGTCTATATCGTTCCTCAATGCGAGTCACCCGGGATAAACTGCCATAGTTGTCACTGCCACCTGGATAGCCATCTTCATAGTGGCGGCTATAACCATCAGGAGGGTAGTGGAAGTTCCTCGGAAGGGTAGCAGTGCCTGCTTGGCCCACATAAGGACCAGGTCCACCGTTGCCATTCTTGCGGAAGTCACGACCCAAAGTCTGGATATAGTTGTTCGAAACTGATGAGGCATCCACAGGCAGCCCGTCTGGTCCCACAGGGACTGGCTGTACCGTCCGTGTTGTCACTGTCTTCACTACTTTCTTGACCTTCAATTAAGGAATGGGGGGGAAAAAAAACTACTGAGGGAAATAACTGATACAAGCTTACTTCCAGACCATTCCAAGAAAAGAAGCAAACCCTAATCTCTAGGCCACTACACTAGAAATGCCTATACCATCTACCTTTCTTCCCATCCTATACATCTGAGCAAGAAAACTGCCCTGGCAATTACTGCTTCTCGGAGAAGCTCCTACAGACCTTGACATGCCCTCTCTCTTCCCAATCCATCAGATTTTCCCATATCACTTTTCCATGTGAAGAGAGATCACTTTCTTTTTGGCATCAGTACAGATTAGTGATCCTTCCTTCACCCTAATTAAGTGCTTAATCTCTCCCCTAATACAAACTACAGAAAGACTTCTTCTATTTTCTATTAATGAGACCTTATGCAAATCTCAGCTTACTGTGGTCTCTGTGCGCCGAGTGGTCCCATCATCTGAGGTCTCCACAGAGACAACAGACATGGCTCCTTCAGGGTCCTCCTCTGTGTAAGTCTCCACAATCTGCCCTGGCTCTTGCATCCTGGGGATGGTGCTATATAGAAGATGACTGTGATCCTATATGGAAAAGAGGAAAAGAAAGAAAATACTATTAAGCCATGTGTTATTAAGAACCCATCCTAGTAAGAAGCAGAAGGGTGAAGACTATTCATCCATCTTTTATAGACCTCAAGATTTTTAAAGAGAGGTGATTGTTACCTTTCAAACTTGTACAAAAGTAAATATAATTTTCCCATTCTAGTCATTTAACTAATATGTACCAAGCTAAACAGCTGATAGCCATATTGACACCAAGTGACAAAGGTAGCAGATTTAACTTCCCAATTCTGGTCATCTATGGTTATCCAAATGAATATGAACTATGTTAATGGGCCATATATACATCTGAGTGATCTCTCAAAACGGGCTTATCCAATAAATAAAGAACGTTTTTTATTACAAGGGATTGATCCCAGGGGCGCTTAACCACTGAGCAACACTCCCAGCCCTTCATTAAGAATTTTATTTAGAGACAGGGTCCCACTCAGTTGCTTAGTCCCTAAATTGCTAAGGCTGGCTTTGATCCTCCTGCCTCAGCCTTCAGAGTCACTGGGATTATAGGCATGCACCACCATGCTCACTCCCCACGCCCCCCAAAACAAAGAACTTTTAGGATAAAAAAGAAAATCCCTATAAGACCAATCATTTGACTGACTTTATATTACTCTAAGGTAAGCCAGAAGGCTTCTAAGACCAACCAGATTTTAGGTAGGATTTTCTGCAAAGTAGAATTATGCCCTCCCTAAAATAGGAATGTAGTACCTAGGATCACATGACAGGGAGGTAGTAATAAAGATCAATAGCCATTAATATTCATTTCAAAACAAAGCTACATATACTTTGTAGCTCCACCTTTTTACTTTCCTAAATGAAAGAAACTAATTGATGGGTATTTACAATGTGCCAGACACTTTATGAATTACCATGATGCTCTTCTTATAAGCTGAAGAAGTAAAATGATATGAATGAAACAACCCAGCCTTGAGCCAAAAGAATTACCTGGGGTCCGTTGAGTTTCAAATCTGAAAACTTCTGTCTCTCAAGGTCAGCATCGCCCACAAACCGGCCGTTCTGAAACATAACCCATGAAAGGACAATTCATTTTGTGGCCTTCCTTTACTCTATCAAACATAAATGTCTTTTTCCCAAACAGGAAAAGGGCTTTCAAGAAGATGTTTGTGGCTGAAATCCTTGTGTCAGTAGTCATAAAATAACCATATTACTTCTTAGCTTAGAACTTTCCTCAAAGTTGGAATCAGGCCTGCAACTCTGGCAGACTGGGTCTTTGGTACATAAAAACCTAAGCTCCGTGAGGGCAGAGGGGTTTGGGGGTCAGTTTTATTTAAGGTAGCATCCCTAGTGCCTTACGCAGTGCCTGATACATTATAAGCGTTCAAAAACTATTTGCTAAAATAAAGTATGTTTTGGAAAAGTTTCCCTACATGCAACCTTTTTGAAAATCCCTGAGAATATAAGGAAAATTGAAAAGGCTAATTTAGGGGATTTCCAAAAGTCTTCGTTATTGTTCCCTGAATCTTCATGCTCTGCTACCATTGGAAACTCCCATTCCATACAGCTTTTTAAAGAAAGATGTAAGTCTCCCTTTCCAAGTATGAAGAATATAGGTACCCCAATTCCCCTCCAAGAAGACTAAATTCTCAACATCTTTATCATCAATTATTACAACCACAGAACACATTCCAAAATGTCAATCTTAAATTGTTCTGTCTTAAATAGCAGGAAATAATCTAATGACATTATATCACATAGAAATACATATTTCCCTGCTCCTCTTTCAATACAGAACACAGTGAGATCCGGCCACCTTAGGAAACTCTTCTCCCACCCCACTCCCCTTTACATGAAGAGTATAACGCTGAGGGAGAGGAAGTTAAACATTACTTTCAGGAAGAAGGAAAGGTGTGGTTTCATTGCTGAGCAGAAGTTAAAAATAAGAGAGCAAGAGAAAGAAACCACATACTAAATCCTGGAATTCCCCACCACCTCCACGCCTGAGTCGTCTTTTCAATATATACATCTCATCACTAGCCCTCTACTCTGGCTCCTAGAAAAAATTAGAAACATTGCAAATATACAGCCTCCTTCAAATTCCTGATTATCCCCAACTGGAATTCTGTCCTCTAGCTCAATCTGCAAGGTTCCTCAATAGGAGGGACCTTTTCTATCTTAAAAATTAAATAATCAATAAAAAGGACTGTCAAGGCATGAGCACTATTTTGGTTTCCATCCAGAGACCTCCTAAGATAAAGTCTATCAAGCAATGCCCTCCACCTCCCCCCCCACACACACCCTCAGACAGATTACGTCACAGCAAAGTCAGACTAGATAAACCAAAGGAAACAAAAGATACTTCTCACTTCTAACACCAACTCTCCAAAGTCACATCAGAAAGTCAGCCAACGAGAGACCACTGGCTCCTGTGGTTATTTGGGTTAAACAGCAGAATGAAGCTCCCTCTCCAATTCTAACCAACAGAATTAACAATAACCCCTTCCTCCAAGACATGATTTATACAGCCAACAAAAAAGAGGCCACAAAGGCAATACGGAACAGGAATATACAATTTATGGATACAGTCACACCTTCTGAGAACAGATTGTTCCCTGAAAGGACTGAATGAAGCTGGGAGTACAAAATGCCCAACTTCCCCAACCAATAAGTGCCCATTTACTTTCTTGAATTTTTGATGCCAAGAAAAAAATAATCAGAGAAAACAAGTAATTTGACTATAGCCCCAAACTATACTTACTATCTGCCACGGCATCCCAACCCAGAAAACCCACTCCAACAAAACAAGAAGTCAGATGATGCTTCTAGAGATAAGTCCACCCAACTCAGCACAGCAGCAATATTTCTTATTTCTTAATCAGTATTTAACACCTCTGGAAAAGTTCAAAATGAAGCATGGGCATTGGATAGCCCATCACCGAGGGTAGAGTAGCTTCCCAATAAGGATTTTACCCTCTCCATGACCATGCCAAAGTCCTACCTGCTGGTCTGATGGAGAGAGGGGTTACCTGATGCCGGCGTGTGAGGGTGCCGTTGGCCATGAGTGGGTTGGCATCCTGTGGTGAGACCCGGACGCGTTCCAGTTGCGCCGAGACGTGGCGCCGTTCCTCCTCCAGCGCCCGGGTCAGCTTCTCAAACTGGGCCTCTTGTTCCTTCACAGAGGCCAAGATGCTGGCGGTCGACTCCACCTCTGAGTCGTCCATGAAGGTAAGGGGCAGAGCCGTGGCAGGGCAGGGTAAAAAGGAAGGTGGATCACAGAGGGAGGAGGAAGGAGGGAGAAGGCCCCCCTCACTTCACACTATCGGGAAAGGATAAGAGAGAGGAGAGAAAAGATCACAGGTCAGAGAAGACAGATGAATTATTAATCCCAGAGCCAAAGATGCCCTCTCGTGGTTTTACTACAATGCAGAAAGCAAGCCACCACCAAGCCTGGGGGCCCATCACCAGTGTCTACTCAAGCAGAGTCCTTTGCCCACTACCCTCCTCAACAGCCCATCAAAAGTACCTACTGAAAGGAAAGTGGTGACTAGATCTGTCAGTAGGAGAAGGAGAATGTGACTAAATGTGGTAATCATGGCATGAGATTAAAATTAGATTCTTTTTTCCCTGGAAAAATTTGCTAGTATCAATTTAATGAAAGTTTTAACTGCATGGTACAGACAAGCACTCACTGTCCTTCAGGGCCAAGCCACTGCTAAAACAAGGCAGTACAGATTTTACTTAACCTCTCTCAAATCTGTTACTGATGCTGCTATAGTAGGGGCAAAATATACTAAATTAATATGCTAAATTAAAATCCCAACTAAGAAATGTAAATTGGAAAAAAATATCTCCCCCTTATCAAAGGTGGAAAGACAAAATTAAGTCCTCCATGTTTGATACATTTATGGACGGGTCTTTCTAGCTTCCAAACTATACTACAATATTGAGGGCAAAATGTGCCTTAACTGAGACGAGATAGTAATAGAAGCACAAAACATAATCTATGGGGGGTGGGGGGACACTATTTCCTAGGACTTTTACCTCTTTGGGGAATAGGAAAAGGAGCAGTAGGCTCAAACTCTTAAAAAGTACACCTTGAAGTAGTTCATATTCTAACTCCTAGATGTCAAAGGCTAGAACTTCCTATGACTCTATAATCTTACAGAAAGCTCTAAACAGATTATCTTTTTACCACTTTACTTGTTCCAACTCGGGGCAAATACCCAATCTAGATGGTTTATGTGTGCTGTTTATACAATAAATGATAATATATCCTTATTATATAACAGCAAGTTGGCCAATAAATCAAGAAGCATTATAGTCATACTGCTGTACTTAGTTGATTGTCACTATGGGTGACCTTATGGCCAGTCCAAAAGGCAGGTTGGAGGTAATCTCCCCTACTCTCCATTCTCTCATCAACCCCCCACCCCTGTGGAAAAAAGTCACTTAAAAATATTTATTTATTCTTAATAAATGTGATTTTAATACACACCTGTTAAGAGAAGGGTCGTAATTGATTGTTTTAACACAGAGAACAGCCCAGTCTAGATTCAAAAAAATCATGGAAGAAGCATCCCAGCCACCACAGCAAGGAGGAAGCAGGAAGGAGAGAGCTGCAGAAATATTTGAAAGAAAAATGGAAATGAGAGGAAAATAAAATATGCCCAATGCATAAATACAAGAGAATAAAGGGGAAATTTGAGGAAGAAAGGTATTAATTTAAAATATGATTTGGATGGGGAGGTTGAGGCAAGAAGATCCAAAGTTCAAGGCCAGCCTCAACAACTTAGAGAGGTCCTAAGCAACTTAGCAAGACTTTGTCTCAAAAAAGAAAAAGGAAAGGGCTGGGGATATTGCTCAGTGGTTAAACACCCCTGGGCTCAATACCAAAAAATAAATATATACATTGTATGTGTGTGTATATGTGTGTGTGTGTGTACTGAATGAATGAACTGTAATTGCTTAATGTGACCAATGCCCTTTAGACTTTGCTGTGTTCAGATACCTGGGCTTTGAATGTAGTTTTCATTAAAATATGGACTCTATTGTCCTATCAAGAATTCCTCTATTTGTACCTCTATACAGAACCAAGAACTGTTTATAATATGGATAAAAACCCATTTATCCCTTGTTCCCAGCAATCAAATTGGGGGGAAAATTCCTGTTGGAATGCCCTTCCCCCTCCTTTCCACCCCTAAGGCAGAAACCTCAAAGCCCAGTTCCAGCATGCCCACAAAGACATTGAGAAACCAATGCAATAGTAGCAGTGGGGAAGACAAGTGGAGACTAGCCTAGACTGAATCTTTTGCTTAGCTTCTGTTTCCCACGCTCCCCAGAGCCCCACCAAGCACAAAGGATTGGGCCTACTTGCCTTAGAGTGTATGCAGCATTCAGCAAGCAAGAGTCCCCAGAGAAAACTGATAAACAGGTGCCCAAAACTCTTGAATTAATTCATTCCCTAAATCAGAAAGTATATTGCCCCCCCATCCAGATATGAACTCCCACAACCACTTATCAACTCCTGTTCTTCCTTTGAGTCCAAAGCCCATTGCCACTTTCTCACATTCCCATCCTACATTTTAACAGGCCACTCAAAGGTCTTTCTTATAATAAGTATCCTTATCATTAAAAACTGTTCCCTTTCCATCTCTATTTCTTCATTTTAAACACTTGCCCTTATCCGCTATGTACAATGACCTATGAACTTCCACACCAAGAAGACTCCACTTAAGAGAGATTCTTCCAGTTACTGAGCTTAAACAGGGCCTGCAGTGCAGTTACCACTCTGGCAACCTCCGCCCTGTAATCTTCCTTGCTAATAAAAGCCCAAACAACCACTACATGGGGCATACAGAGACAACACTCCCTGCTGCAGAAATTGTTTGTTATCCTGCCATAAATGGTTACTTTTTGCCCCCACAACTTAAACTCAGAAAAAGGGAGTTAGGAAGATAGGAAAAAGGTAGGTCAGAAAACAGTGTCTGGAGAAACATTAGCTTCTCCAATCTTCATAATTTTAAAGCTGACCAAATTGAAGAGGACAGTACAGCTGGTAGGAAGAGGAGATCAGATTCCTAGGTCTAAAAGCAGAAAATTTTTCTGCTTGAAAAGGGCAGAAGCAAAGGCTATGCTGGACAGAATACAACTCAGAAGACCAGTTCCAGTCCTCACTCGCCAACAATGGCAGTTAAGTCCCTGCCACATACTCATCTGTACAATGCCAGTATCACCAACCCAATGTAACTCGAGTTGCTGTGCAGATTCGGTGAGATAACTGTTATACAAATGTGAGGTACTAAGTTGTTTCAAGAGTTAGTTTCTGTCTTCCAATTACGTTACTTCATGATACTATCTCAGCTCCAAACTATTTTGTGAAGTAGTAGATTAAATTAACAATTAAGATCATAGCTGAGGCTAGGTGCAGTGAACCACATCAGTAATCCCACTGGCTCAGGAGGCTGAGGCAGGAGGGCTGCAAGTTCAAGAGCAGCCTCTGCAACTTTGTGAGACACTGTCTCAATTAAAAAATGAAAAGGGCAGGGAAGGTAGCTCAATAGTAAAGCACCTCTGGGTTCAATCTCTAGTACCCAAACAAACAAATGGGTTCTAAAGAATGGATTACCCTACTCAATTTTAGAGGTCTCACCTAGGCCAGTGTTTCTGGGACAAAGGGCACTTCTCTAGTGCCTGGCACTCATTACAGCATTACAAATCTGTTAATACCAAGTTTTTTATTCTCTATTTAAGGCCTTACCAGTATTATTATGAAGGAAAAAAGGGAATGTGAAAAGAACTAACAATTGCTAAATGCTTCACACTCATTATCCTGGCAATCCTAATAGTAACCACAAGGAACTAAGTTTGATTGCAAATTAGAAAACAGACTCAGATGAAGAAATTGCCCAAGTCCCCATAGTTAATAGCAAATTTTGAATTTAAACCCAGATCTCTGCCATTCCCAAGCCTACATTCTCTTTCTACACCATGCTGCCAAGTCCAAAAAGATATGCAATATAAGATACATGAGCAAGGGCTGGGGTTGTGGCTCAGTGGTAGAGTGCTTGCCTAACAGGTGTAAGGCCCTGGGTTCAATCTTCAGCACCACATGAATAAAATAAATAAATAAAAGGTATTGTGTCCAACTATAACTAAAAAATAAATATTAAAAAAAAAGATACATGAGCGAGCCTCTATGCCCTACGACTACTGAGAGCTTTCTTCCTAACTATCATAAAAATAGGGGGAAAGAAGATGTTTCCATTTTTCTTTAGAATAAAGAATTATTCCTTTTCTACATTAGAGAGGGGGGAAAATGAGGAAAAAGAAACGAGTGGGGACAAAGAATAATGACATTGAGCAAGCTACAGAAGACCAGTCTTGTAATTCACAAATTTGATGACGTTTCTTCTACAAGCCATACACATCATAAAAAGATAATGCTACAAACCAGAGCTGCAAACCATAACTGACTTTGGCAGAGTCAGGAATGGCTTATAAGTCAGATCCAACACCTTTCTAGTTTTGCCACTTAATGTTTCCAAAGTGTTCACTTAAAAAAAAAAAAAAAAAAATCAAGGATTCCTGATGTGAGAAGGGTGGCACATAAAATGAAACTTGTTTTTCTCCTAAGACTAATATTTCCTAAGAATAGTCAGCCAGCTTTATGATTAACAAGTTTTAGATCCTATATTACTAGATCCCATCCACACTAGAAGGCCTACCTGTTATTACCCAGAGTCTACAGCAAGATTCCCTCATTCAAGCAGTGACAATGATAAAAGTTCACTCTCTGCTGTCAGAACTCCAAACCAAAACAAGTTAAATTGAATCGGTGCCCAGAAGGCCAAACAATTAGACAATGCCAAACAAATAATAGGGCGAAAAACCAGTCATCAATAGCACAGTCCCTGAAATGATTTGCTCTATTGTAAACAAGCTATAGAAATATAATTTGGAATTTTGATTCTTAAAGGTTAAGAATATAGGCTTTGAAATCTGACTGGGTTCAAGTCACAGACCTAACACTTATATAATATCAGACCAGTACCACCTATTTTTAACCTCAGCTTTCCTGTCAATGGAGAAGTAAAAATACATAGGATAACTGTGAGGATTAAATGAGATGATTCATGTAAGTTCGTAGGAAAAGGTCTTAACACATAGAAAGTTATTAATGTTACTACTACAAATACTTCTATAAAACACAAAGGACTAGAATTTTG